TTTGTGGTTTAGAGGTTTTCTGTGGTGCCACTACTGGGTATATATCCAAAGGAAATGAAATCTGTATGTAAAAGAAACATCCGCATTCCCATGTTTATTTTAGAACTATTGACAGTAGCCAAGATATAGAATCAACCTATGTGTCTAACAGTAGATGAATACATAAAGAAAATGCTGTATATATGCATGGTGTAATACTGTTCAGCCTTTAAAAAGAAGGAAATCCCATCATTTTGAGAACATGGATGAACCTGGAGGACATCCTGTTAAGTAAAATAAGCCAAGCATGAAAAGACAAATACTGCATGTTCTCACTCATATGCAAAACCTTAGAAGTTGATTTCCTAGAAGTCAAGAGTAGAACAATGATTACCAGAGAATGGGGAGGGGAAGGGTAAGAAAGGGATGAGCTTGGTCAGTGGGTAAAAAGTTAGAATTAGAGAAGTTTGGTGTCCTGTTGCACAGTAGGGTGACTATAGTCAACAAAAAGGTATTATGTATCTCAAAATAGCTAGGAGAGGGAATTTTGTGTGTTCCCACCATAAAGAAATTATAATGTTTGAGGTGATGGATATGCTAGTCAGCATAAATCAGGATAAAAAATTATCCTGATTAGATCATTACCTAATGTATACGTGTATTGAAATATCACTTTGTACCGAGTAAATATATACAATTAGTATGTGTCCCTTTTTTTTTTTTAAGTATAGAAAACTGATAGTGGCATGTAAGCAGATTTTTTTTTTTTTTTTGGAGACGGAGTCTTGCTCTGTCACCCAGGCTGGAGTGCAGTGGCACGATCTCGGCTCACTGCAACCTCCACCTCCCAGGTTCAATCTATTCTTCTGCCTCAGCCTCCCCAGTAGCTGGGATTACAGGCATCTGCCACAATGTCCGGCTATTTTTTTTTTCTGTATTTTTAGTAGAGATGGGGTTTCACCATGTTGGCCAGGATGGTTTTGAACTCCTGACCTGAAGTGATTCGCTTGCTTTGGCCTCCCAAAGTGCTAGGATTGCAGGCATGAGCCACCGTGCCCGGCCTGTGAGCAGATTTTTAAAGGTTAAATTATAGTTCACCAGTAGAAAAAGATGGGAGGTAACCCTATTCAAAGATAGCCAGGCACCCAAGGACATTGTCACTTTTGTGATTCTGAACTCCCCAGTACAAGGCACAGAAGAGATGAACAGGGCCCATCCCTGAAGGCATGTGTCAAGAACTTGGTCCTGCATCCCGGAGGCTCGCTGAAGGGCTTTTCACTCATATGCAAAACCTTAGAAGTTGATTTCCTAGAAGTTAAGAGTAGAACAATGATTACCAGAGAATGGGGAGGGGAAGGGTAAGAAAGGGATGAGCTTGGTCAGTGGGTAAAAAGTTAGAATTAGAGAAGTTTGGTGTCCTGTTGCACAGTAGGGTGACTATAGTCAACAAAAAGGTATTGTGTATCTCAAAATAGCTAGGAGAGGGAATTTTGTGTGTTCCCACCATAAAGAAATTATAATGTTTGAGGTGATGGATATGCTAGTCAGCATAAATTAGATCATTACCTAATGTATACGTGTATTGAAATATCACTTTGTACCGAGTAAATATATACAATTAGTATGTGTCCCTTTTTTTTTTTTAAGTATAGAAAACTGATAGTGGCATGTAAGCAGATTTTTTTTTTTTTTTTGGAGACGGAGTCTTGCTCTGTCACCCAGGCTGGAGTGCAGTGGCACGATCTCGGCTCACTGCAACCTCCACCTCCCAGGTTCAATCTATTCTTCTGCCTCAGCCTCCCCAGTAGCTGGGATTACAGGCATCTGCCACAATGTCCGGCTATTTTTTTTTTCTGTATTTTTAGTAGAGATGGGGTTTCACCATGTTGGCCAGGATGGTTTTGAACTCCTGACCTGAAGTGATTCGCTTGCTTTGGCCTCCCAAAGTGCTAGGATTGCAGGCATGAGCCACCGTGCCCGGCCTGTGAGCAGATTTTTAAAGGTTAAATTATAGTTCACCAGTAGAAAAAGATGGGAGGTAACCCTATTCAAAGATAGCCAGGCACCCAAGGACATTGTCACTTTTGTGATTCTGAACTCCCCAGTACAAGGCACAGAAGAGATGAACAGGGCCCATCCCTGAAGGCATGTGTCAAGAACTTGGTCCTGCATCCCGGAGGCTCGCTGAAGGGCTTTAGGCCAAGGAGTAATACGGACAGAATTACCTGTTCTCGTCATTCCTCTGGCAGTCCCCAGGTGTATAGGATGGGGGCTGGCAGTTCCTGGAAGCATAGAAAGTAGGTACTTGGCTATGGCAATGGGCGATGCCAGAGAAGGTGAGGCCCTAAGTCAGGCAGGGACAAGGAGGGAGGGCAGGCAGAGCAGGAGGTCCTGCGAGGGAATCCACTGAAGTTAGTGACTGGCAGACTGGTGAGTGAGGGAGAGCCCTAAGTCTGCTGCCTTCTGTGAGCTTCTGGGGGATGGCATCAACTGAGGAAGGAAAGATGGACGAAAGAGCACTGGGTGTTGTATTGGAGGAACTGTGGAGAGACAAGGTGTGTTGTGTTGGAGGAAAGGCTGAGCAGTTTTGAGGGATTTAGTCACAGTAATCCACGACTGCAGTTAGCTTACAAAGTCATGAGAACTATTAAAATGAGACTGCTATCCATATATTTGTCAACTTCACTTGGGCCTTGGACATGGCCTAATATGTTTCACTAGTCAATTGACAACCCAAATCATTAAAATGCTCTGTTATTTTCAAATGTTGAACTTTCTCATTCCCTCATTTCCACATTCTCCCTCTACAGATAACCTCATCTCTTACTTCATCTCAAAGTAGAAATGATTTCTCCAAAACTGACCACATCACTACTGAAATTCCCTATTTTCACTGGTTCTGAAAGTGATCCCCCCCAACCCAACCGCTTAAGCCAGCAACAGGGTTATCCATGCCCAAACTGAAGGAAGAGCTTGATGAGAGGACGTCAGGAAGAAAGGTCAGCGCTAACTGATGACCGTAGTAGTCAAGAATGGAAGCAGAGGGAGAATGAGGGGGAAGCCAGGAAAGGTCCCCATAGGCTCGTAGGACTATGGTTGGAAGCACGTTTGTCGTGGAGCCCCCAAGTACCAAATGGGTACGTTAGGCCTAAGGACTTTCGAAGTCACTTCCACCCATAGGCTTACCAGCTTTGTAATCTGGAACCAATTATTTTACACCTAAATGAGTGTTAGACTAGATTTCTTTAAGGTCTCTTGGAGCTTTAAAATGTTATGATTCCTTTGAGAACATTTCAAAATGTGTGTGTGTGTGTGTGTGCGCGCGCGTTACAATCTTAAGCTGCCTACATTACAAACTGAAGGTCTTGCTTTAATAATTTCAACTAACTGATAAAATCAAAGGCTTCTTTATGTCGTTCTTCTGCCCTACTAAACATAGGTGTGGATAGTATTAAATGAATCTGTAAATATGAGTGGGGATCAAACACATCGCCTGGCTAATATTTGTACAAAGCAGTTCCCAAAACATTGAAAAGTTCATTGCAACAAAACCAATTTACGATTGATGAAAAGGTCTCTCAGTTGTAACCTTTAAATGCATGACATTTCAATCAGAATATCGAGTTAGCAGTTTCAGACTTTGACTTTTCAGACAGACACTGATACAAAAATACATTTCATATCATTATTGTTTAACATATTATTTTTGTTTGAAATTGATAGTTGTCCTACAATTTTATGTCTAGCTGAATTCCCAAAGTAGAAGTATTAATGTGCAGAGAATTCATGAAAGGTTTTCAAATGTCTTACAAATGTAAGATTATTTGAAGCTGTATCGGCTTGTAATTTAAGGCCTGCAGCTGTTGGTATGATAGAAGCATCAAATTTCAAAAGAAGTTGTGGTAGAGTGTGAATAAGCAGAATGAAGAGAAGTCTCCTGAGAAGAAAATAAAATGAAAATGTAGCATATGCATTGTTACAGCATTGCTCCTTTTTTTCTTCATTTTTTATTTCAGGTTCAAGGGGTACATGTGCAGGTTTGTTACATAGATGAATTGCATATCACCAGGATTTGATGTACAAATAATTTCATCACCCAGGTAGTAAGCCTAGTACCCAACAGTTTTCTGATCCCCACCTTTCTCCTCCCTCCTTCCTCAAGTAGGCCCCAGTATCTGTTGTTCCCAACTCTGTGTGCATGTATACTAAGGCGCTGTTTCTTACATTCAAGGTTTAGTACTAAAATGCAAATATGAAGTATATAATTTAGTAAGTTTTAATTCATGCTGCACACCAGGCCACATAAAAATAAGGCAAAATAAAATATTAAAATTATTCAGAAGTTGGATATTTATTCTATTGCCTTTACACCTTATAAAATGGAATGGCCTAATTACTCTTAAATGAAGATAAAGACAATTTAAGATCACGTTGTAACATTCACATCATTTGTTAAACATAATAGAAATGTGAGTTTCCTGGAAAAGAATGGTCATAATTTTAACATGCAGAGTTTGTTTACCTTCTATTATGGTGATCTTTGTTTAGGATTTTCTCCTCAGATATTAACGTTTTTCACTTAAAGAGGCTCAGGGAAAGTGATTTTTAAAGAGTCACTGTTACATGGTAATATGCATTTGGATGAGACTAGTATATGTGTAATATATATAGTCACAAGTTCTAACTTGCATATTAATTTGAAGAGATTTTTCATAAAATTTTATCAATATTAGTTTCTAATGGAAATTAGTCTTAGAAGTTTTTTGTTATTTGTTTGAGGTAAAGGTTTTTTTAGGAAGTTATAATTATGTTAGACTATCATGCTTTAGGGTTTAAATGTTGAAATGTTGGTTTTGTAACAAGAAGAGTTTGGTTTCTTGTTTGTGTGTTTTGGTTTGTTTTTGGCACGTAAAGAGCTGTGTCCTGGAATTGGTGCCCAAACAATTTTAAGTGTGGTATGAACTGTTTATGTCATTGAGTAAAATTAGACACGCCTGTTGCTAATGTGAGAGGATGAAACATGAGACAGGACTAAACTCGTGAGAGCGCTTTCTCCAGGGACAGTTGCTGAAGCTTCATCCTTTGCTCTCTTTCTGTAAGTCATGGAAAAGTTTGAAACATTCTGTCTTCGGTAGAGCTCAGGCCGACAGTAGTTCATTCGCCAGTGCACTTTTCTTAATAGCTAAGGTAAGCGCTCAGTTTTAACTTGGATTTTATATCAGTACAAAGTACAAGCTAAAAACCAAACACTTATGAGGATTCTTAATATTCTTTCTTCTTTGGTGGCATAATAGTTATTAAATTTAAAACAATGTTGAATAAATTTGTGTATCAGAACATAATGATATATCAAATATCAATAGCATTCTCATTTCAACTAAGTTATTCTGACTACTGATATGCTCTGTAGTTTTAGCATAATCCTGTATTTCTAATATTTTTAATTTGTAGAATGCCAAAGGTAGCATTTCTGTATTATTGGGCATTGAAGTGTATCCTGTAGTTAATCTAGACAAAGTATCATCTTTAAGATCACCTGCTTGTAATTCTGCTGTTAAACTTTAGTGGTACAATTACATTTGCTTTAGATTTTCTTGATAGTTTTGTTGTAGACACTAAGAAATAAACTAAAATGAGTGACAACAAAAGTCCAGTGGTTTTATAAGTTGGAAATAAACAAAACAAGAGCAAAATAGCAACCTGACTCCTTCGCTATTTTTGGAGTGAAAAAGGGAAGAATGTTTCTTTCCCCAAATCTGGAAGATATAAAATGCTGCTCAAAATATGTATGAAAAAATAAACATAAGTAGGGTAAAAGTACACATGTGCTAATGCTTGAGCTTACTGAAGTTATGAGTTCTTTCTCTGAGTTTTCTAAATTTATATATGACAACTAGCAAACACAACTTTTTTAAAGGAAGGCTTAGAAAAAAATAATAAGGGAAAATATAACTCAGCTGACTGAAAGATTTGCCAGCAGGATGGGGTAACTACCAGTACAAAATGAACCACAGAATACACTGTTTATTTTTTGCTTATTTTCTTGCAAACATTTTGTAGGTACAAAGAGGCACCTTTGCGGAATTTAAAAAGTAGTGCTACAAGTTGGGGTTCGTTTTCTAGGTTCTAGGATTCATTTCAGATTGTCTTTCAAAGACAAATGAAAAGTAGCATTTCAATGTAGTTAGATATAGCATTCCAAGGACTAACAAATTCAGGTGTCCGAAAGATATCAGCTAAGCTTGCAGTTAAAATGCCGAAAATGAAATTGTGCCATATTGTCCTTTAAAAAATGTACTTGCTAGTCATTAAACTAAGTTGTTATTAAATTGCATTAAAAATTAAATAATAAATTATAGTGGGTGCCCAGTGTGTTCAGTTTTGCATAATTTATAGGACCTGAGGATCTCCCTCCACTCACTCATCACAGCCCTTGCGTCTTCTCAGCTGAGGTGCCAGGGCTGTGGTTTCCTAGTGGGAAGGGAGAAACTACAGTATCCTGAGGATGACTCTGCTACTGTCCTTCAGAACCCGCCTTGACCCTCATGATACCTTCCTTTCTCTCCCTCCCTCCTTCCCTCCTCTTCTCTCAGCCTCTGTAGCATCTGTCTGGCTTTATTCTTCTCCAGACCTACTGCAGAGCCAGATAGCTCTACGACGTTCTCATGAGGATTGCAGGATCCATCGCTTGCTGCTTTGGCCATTTCGGATTCCAGCTTCATTTTTAATTGTTTATGTTACGCTGTAGATAGTTTTACGGGAACATTGGTACAGGAGTATTTAGTAATGTGTGGATTGGTAAAGGTCTCAAGACTTTTCTTAGAATCTGTGAAAATCTCAGTGCCTACTCAACTTCAGTATGACTGGTGTGTAGGACCACTGAGGAACGGGACAAAGGAGGGCTCGCTGTGCCCAAAGGCGTTTGTGCTTCATCCTAAGCACCGGTGTGACCTTTGAACCTCTAGAAAAGGAGAGCAGCGCAGTCACATGGGTGCTTTGATAGGATCACTGCAGTTGACATGGAGAATGGATTAGGGACGGTGGAGGCGGCAGTGAAGGGCACCTTAAAACCCAGCTTCACCTTCGTGACTTGTTTAACTCTGTTTTTAAAATGCTCAATTGATTTTACTTGAGAAACATCTCTGGAAAGTCTAACATCAATGAAGAGGCTATGATTAAAAGTTTAGGCTATGGAGCCAGACTGCCATTTGACCTTGTATGAATTACTTCATTTCTATATGTCTCAGTTTCTTCATTTGTAAGGTGAGAGGAGTTGCATTGTAGCAGCTACCATTTTAGCAAGTATCAAATCTAGCTTATAGAAGACAATTAGAAAGTTTCTGACTTCTTAGTAAATAGTAGCTTTCATCGTCATCAGAAGGTTTCTGACTTCTTAGTAAATAGTAGCTTCCACGGTCATCACCATTCAATGCACCCTCTTATCCTGACCCCACGCAGCAGGGAAGTCAGGAAGACGGGAAAATGACGGTAACTGGTCAGGAGCTTGAACCTGCTCCTCACAGTCCCCTAAGAAGACGCACCAGAAAGGAGCCCTAAGCAGGCAGGAGACTCCAGGCTGAGGCTATTTCTGCCGTTTCTATGGAGGAAGTTCTCTACACGCAGCCATGGCTGCTCAGAAGCGGCGTGTGCATTCCAGGATGCAAATAACCCTCCTGGCATTCCCGGTGGCCGCCTGCCTATCCCTAATGGTAAGGTCTATGAAGGAAAGAAAGGCAAGTGACTGTTTTCCTTTCCGATGAAAATCTTCCTTTCGTTCAACAGTTTAGCTTGTAACAAAAACTTTATATAAAATATTCTCTCTTTATTTTTATTTATTTATTTTTTTTTGGAAGACAGAGTCTGTCTCTTTCGCCCAGGCTGGAGTGCAGTGGCATGATCCCGGCTCACTGCAACCTCACCTCCCAGGTTCAAGCGATTCTCCTGCCTCAGCCTCCTAAGTAGCTGGGATTATAGGTGCCCGCCATCATGCCCAGCTAATTTTTGTATTTTTAGTAGAGATGGGGTTTCACCGTGTTGGCCAGGCTGGTCTTGAATTCCCGACCTCAAGTGATCCACCCACCTCGGCCTCCCAAAGTGCTGGGATTACAGGCATGAGCCACCATGCCCAGCTGATACAAAATACTCTAAAATGTTAACCTTGGTGAAACAATACAAGTGTGTTGTCTCCATACTGGAGTGCATTTGAATGTGTGTATTTTGGCAACATTTGAAAGTCACTTTAAATCATCCCATTCATATCCCAAAGCAAAGGTGCTAATAAGGGCAGAAGTGAATAATGGCCCTGAGGCCATCTGAAACTTTTTAAATGAACTGTCAGGCCATAGGAAAAATACATATATACCACGTTTGATAAGAAACTTAATTAAGTGTACCTCAAGAATTTCTTCTTGCATTTAGTCTTGTAACTAAAAAGAAGCACAGCATAATTGATACATTGAAATAACTTCCTTTTCTTAAAATTTTCACTTAATATTGTGTGAATGTTTTTCAGAGCTAGAATTTAGTTATACGCAAATTTTAAGGACTAGGCAAATTAAAGGTTTTTTTTTTTTTTTCTTGAGGGGGGCAGTGATAGTTGATTTGCTTAAAAATTTTAGGCTTAGTATAAAAATCAAAATATTTATAAAATAGATTACAGGCTACTTCATTTGCTGTTTGCTTAAACACAGCCTTCGTGTGTAATTTTAATTTAAGAATATTCTAAACTCCATTCTCCTTTGTAAATAACATCAAATTTAAGAGTCATGTCTACACAGGATAAATGGTACTGCAGTGTAGGCTGGTCCCCCTCACAGGGCTAGTATGTAATGAACTGGTTTCTGGATGACCAGTAAGGGGGTCTTTTTAAATCTCTCTCTCTCTCTCTCTCTCTCTCTGTCTCTCTCTCTCAATCTCTCTCTCTCTCTGTCTCTGACTTCTCTAAGAAGTGTCCTTGGCCTCAGCCCACACCTTTCCCAGCTTCCTCTCCTAACCTAGCCGGCTTCCCTCATTGCCTGGTGCCTTCCTCTTGAGAGCATTCCCTTAATACAACACCTGAACAAGAATCCGCATCTCAAGCTGCTTCCAGGAAACCTGATGTGAGATAGTGTCAACCTAAATAACAAGCAAGCTCCCAAAGAAAAGATGTTCATTTGTGAATAGAGCATTGCGGTGGGAATATGAGGATTACACAGTTGTTCTGAAATTAATCAGTATGATTATGAAATCTGTATGAGATTGCAGGCAGATGTCCTCGTGGAAGTATTTAAGGTTGTGGTTTTTGCAGTCTTTTGTGATAATTTATGTTATCAGCATATAAGCATAAAAAATTTCTCTTTATGATCTTCCCCGGTTCTATTTGTCAGAGTTTTCTTAACATTAGTGACACCATTTTGATTCTGACAACTTTCACATAGATAAAGTTGAATAGTGTTCTGAGAAATCTGTCAGTGTACCTGATCACTGTTTTGTTTTGTTATTTTTCTGAAACGGAGTCTCGCTCTGTCGCCCAGGCTAGAGTGCAATGGCGCGATCTTGGCTCACTACACCCTCTGCCTTCTGGGTTCAAGCAGTTCTCCTGCCTCAGCCTCCAGAGTAGCTGGGACTACAGACACCCGCCACCACGCCCAGCTTATTTTTGTATTTTTAGTAGAGACGGGGTTTCACCATGTTGGCCAGGCTGGTCTCGATCTCCTGACCTCGTGATCTGCTCGCTTTGGCCTCCTAAAGTGCTGGGATTACAGGCAGGAGCCACTGCGCCCGGCCCCTGATCACTTTTAAATTCCAATTTTTCCAACAGCAATTGCTTAGACAGGTTCCCTGGGAAAGAGACTCCAAGCTGGAGACATGCGTGCCATGTATTGGAACCCATCTTGAAAAAAAATCCCTGTAGGACAGCAAAGGTGGCAAAGTGGGCAGAAGGAGATGTAGGATAACACTGTAGCTGCCACGGAACTGGAGTCATGCAGGGCTGTTGCCTGCAGGGGAGGGGGCCGGGCTGTCATCCAGTGCACTGATAAAACGCTGGAGTGTGCCTCTCGTGGGGAAACACAGCCATGGGTGAGGCAGCTTAGTGCGGTCTGAAGTCATTCTCGTCATCAGCCATCACTCCCACAACTGAAGGAAGGAGTGTCTTGGTTCTGAAGGGTGACAGGGGTGACACAGCACCAGAGTCCACCCCTCGCATCACTCAGATCCTCTTGCTTTGTTTACCTAATTTGGGAACAGCTCCTCCGAGGGTCTGATTGATCTCTTTTCCTGGGGGAAGGCTGAGGGAATATTAATGACAGGAACTAGCGTCTCCCCTTATGCACATGGTCTCATGACTGCAGCTGATACTTATCCATCCTTTTTCCCTCCCACCGCCTTCACCTACCCATTCAGCATTCTCTTCTTTCTTGTCTAACACCCTGGCTGGTCTGAGTAGCCTTGGGGTGACCCAGACATTCAACTCTGAGGGATCTTAGCCTTGGCCACCAACCCCTAACCAGTCCCAATGCACTTGTGGTTCACACATGGCTGAGCATTTGCTCTCAAAATGGCCAGAGGAATACCAGCAAATGCCTTGCTGGTCCGTCCAGGTGACAAACATATTCTTCCCAGACAATTCTTGTCAGAATGGTGCGTCGTGTCCTCACCAGTGGTATCCGGTATGAGGAGGTGAAGTGATTGCAGCAGCTTGAAGATGACTGGGACTCACGTTGTGTCCTCTGGTAGAAGCACTCCCTGCTGACTTCGAGTGGCTGCTTGGTCTTATTGAGGGATGCTGCTGTTTCTATTGAAGTTGGCAGGGTCTTTATTATTTTATTTTATTTATTTTGTTTTGTTTTATTTTATTTTTGAGACGGAGTCTCGGAGTCTCGCTCTTGTTGCTCAGGCTAGAGTGCAATGGTGTGATCTCGGCTCACTGCCACCTCCACCTCCGGAGTTTAAATGATTCCCCTGCCTCAGCCTCCCGAGTAGCTGGGATTACAGGTGCCTGCCACCACGCCCAGCTAATTTTTTGTATTTTTAGTAGAGGCGGGGTTTCACTCTGTTGGCCAGGCTGGTCTCGAACTCCTGACCTCAGGTGATCCGCCCACCTCGGCCTCCCAAAGTGCTGGGATTACAGGCGTGAGCCACGGTGCCCGGCTGTTAGGGTCTTTATTAAAGAACAGTTATGAGAGATATATGAAGTATGAGTAAAGATAGAATAATTTAGGTTTTTAATTGTAATGCTATATCCTAAACATGGAAGTCTATTTGATCAATACAGTAGATGAGAATATACTTTATTCTGCCTGCCTTTAACAAATATGTATAACGGAGCCGTTACTATGTGCCAGACCCCACTTTAGGTGCCAGTTATATAATAAACAAACAGACACCCTTCCCGTCCTCCTGGAGGTGAGCCTAATGAGGACCAGGCAATAAAAAGTAAAACAAATAAATGCATCATTATGTTCTAAAAGGAACTTTGAAGGAAACGAACAGGACACAGTTGCAGATTGTACACAGGATAAAAGGGACAAGAGCAGGTGTTTATGGAAAGCTGAGGTCGGGAGGACAGAGTGGTGGCCAGGTGGTATGGACCAGTTTTCCCAGTAGTGGGTACAATGTGTGCAAAGACTGTAAGATAGGAGAAAGCTTATTCCGTTTGAGGGATGGAAAGGCCGGTGCTCCTGAGAGGGGCAGAGTGAGGTGAGATGGAGCTGGAGAGGCTAGCTGGTCCAGATGGAGTGAAGCTTCATCGGACGTGCAGTGGGAAGCCACGAGTGACTTTAAACAGGGCAGCAATGGTCCTCTTGTTGGGTGCTGGGTGGAGGTTGGATAAAGAGAGGCAGAGTGGGTGGAGGAGACCCCGAAGAGGCCGCACCACCAGTGCTGGAGTGAAGCAGGGGCAGTGCAGATGGGGAGGCCAGGATGAGCACAGCTGTCCTCAGGATGTGGCAGGCAGGGCTTGCTGATGAAGTAGACATGAGGTGGCAGAGAGAGGGATTGTGATGGCACTCAGGCTTCTGAGATGATCAGCTGGGCATGGCCGGTGCCATGGACTGAGATGGGAATAGAGAAGGGAAGGGGGGGAATTCAGGAGGTGAGGGGAGAGTTATTGAAAATTAAATTACCTTTTAACAAGTTCAGTTCGAAATACCAAGTGGAGATGTCAAACAGGCAATTATCAGATTAGAGAGTTCAGAGATGTTTTAGGTAGAGATAAAAATTTGGGAACCGTCAGCCTATAGATAATATTTAAATACATGATAATGAATAGGATCACCTTGAAAGACTGATGGAAGAGAAGAGATGGTCCTAGACCAGTTCAGGCAAAACCCACCATTTAGAGGCCAGAGTGAAAGAGAAGATTATGAAAGGGCCTGAGAAAGTCCAGAAAGGTAGAAGATAAAACTAGGAGAACACTGATTTTAAGAAAAAAAGTGTTTTCAACGAGGAACTAGCCAACCATTTCAAATAAAATGAAGAGTGAAATGAATTTTTAAAAGTGAGAGAAATAGGCCGGGCGCGGTGGCTCACGCCTGTAATCCCAGCACTTTGGGAGGCCGAGACGGGCGGGTCACGAGGTCAGGAGATCGAGGCCATCCTGGCTAACACGGTGAAACCCCGTCTCTACTAAAAAATACAAAAAACTAGCCGGGCGAGGTGACAGGCGCCTGTAATCCCAGCTACTGGGGAGGCTGAGGCAGGAGAATGGCAGGAACCCGGGAGGCGGAGC